GCTTTAGTATAAACATAGAAGAAAGACCTCTGGCCGTAACAGTTTTTAAAAGTTGGTAATATCAGTTGTCCTTTTGTAACAGATCTAGTTGAATGGTTTACCAGGTTATGGGCGATGTCACCACGGGTCGTGAGCGCGACGCGATAACACTGCGGTGGCGTTAACACTGCGGCAGCATTAACACTGCGGCGACAGTTCTGTTGGGCTCTGCGGCGTCCCAGCAATCATCCTAATTACAGAGCAGAACCGCAGACGGACGGACCCTCTGAGAGCCTGCGGTGATTAAATGTCACATCACTTTAAAGACACTCGTTGCGGTAATTGTCTCAGCAAAATAACCAGAGTCTCTGCGTCTCCGGTTCAACGAGCGGCGTCCCGTGATGCAGGAGCTCAGAGGGATGGTTCTGCGCGTCACATCGACACACCTGCTGTTCTGGGATAAAGACGTCTCCACAGAGACTGAGATGTCACATTATATTGTTTAAATAAAGTCCTGTGGGAGGACTGAGAGACTTTTAGACTCATTTTAAATAGAAATTAGAGAAGAGGATTTGAGAGTAGTGCTGGGCGGTATGACCCAAATTTTATATCACAGTTTTCAGCAATTACACAGGTACCACAGTATTTTACTGTATTTTTCTTTTCATCACAGCTCAGCTGATAATAAATGATGAACGCTGCTTATTGATTAGTAAACCACCGTCAGCTGAAGCTACTCTCTTTCTGCACCACAGAAACTATTTATTGACTCTTCTTTTACTGTAGCTCTGTCAGTCACTCAAAAAGAAAAAATCAGTAGGTCCTCTGGATGGGTTCTTCTTTAGTGAAACGTTTCGTCTCTCCTCCAAGAGACTTCTTCAGTCTGAGGAGTTTCAGGTGAACTCAGCCTTAAAAGCACTGCCTCCACCTCTGTTTAATGGTGGACGGTTTTTCTTCACAAAGATGGCTTTTCTTTGTGAAGAAAAACCATCCACCATTAAACAGAGATGGAGGCCTTCGTGTCCAGTTGTCCTCCTCCTACAACGCTGTTATTGCAAGTATGACTCCGCCCCCTGTGAGCAAAAGGTGTGAATCAGGGCCCCAATGATACCAACACAACGAGGGAAAGAGATACAAAAACAAGGGGACTTTTAACCCCGCTTGCATTAACTACGTGCACATAACACGACATGGGTCAGGTGATGGGACACATGACCCTCTATGAACTATAGAGCTAATCAAGCCTATTGTTAGTCGATGACCCTCTTTTGCATGTGACTAACCTGTTTGTCCATGTGGAGGTGGAGCTTATAAGGCTGAGATCACCTGAAACTCATCAGACTGAAGAAGTCTCTTGGAGGAGACAAAACATTTCATTAAAGAAGAACCATCCAGAGGAACTACTGATTTTTAATTTTTTATTTTTTTCTACCTGGATTACTGAGATGCATCTGGACATCTGTCAGTCACTGTTTCCCTCCTCTACACGTCTTGTCTGCCTGGTTGTAGACATTAATCGCACATTTTGGTCCGGTGAAGGAGGAGGGTTGAGAAATGATAAATACCTGATCTATTATTTTATGTTGTTTAATCAAGCTTAACTCCGCCTCCGTGCACCAGTCAACTACACCCCAGTACCAAGCTACCTTCCCCTAGGCTTTTCACAATAGAAGCACATTAACGTGTCCATACATCGGGCAAATTTTCATCACTAAAGCTAATGCTAAAGCTAACAGGCTAAGCTGAGGTTCTTCTTCCATGAAGCAGCTCTGTTGTCCTCCATCCATATTTTCAGTTACGTCTGAGTCATTTCTACCTTCTCCTCTCTGTCAACGCTCTCTGGTTTCATTTAAAAGAGTCGATCATCAGATATTGTCCAACATTAACCTTCAGGGTGGATATAGCTCGCTAGCAGCCTCGCACCGAGGACCTATCCACATCATCATTTACCCAGAATGCTTTGTGTGGAAATAAAATGGCTCTGTCTGTGTTAAAATATATTTTTAAAAATGATAAAAACTAAACACCCTACAGTATTTTTACAGTCTTTATTTTACAGTTAAAATAAATGTTTATCAAATAAAGTCTAATGTTACAACTANCTAAGATGAGGCTAATGCTAATACAGAGCTAACACTAAGATGAGGCTAATGCTAATACAGAGCTAACACTAAGATGAGGCTAATGCTAATACAGATCTCATACTAGCATGTTAAATATAACACGGAGCTAAGAATAATGCTGCACTAACACTAATGTGATGCTAATGCTAACGCTAATGTTGCACTAATGCTGTCACTAACATGGCGCTAACACTAACGTGGCACTAATGCTAATACAGAACTAACATTAACGTCTTGTTAAATCGAATACAGAGCAAAATTTAATGCTGAGCTATCACTAACATGACGCTAATGCTAACTTTAACATGAGCTAACACTAACGTTGGCTGTGGTTCTGTTCTGAAACGGGTTCTGCAGCTGTTCTGGGCGAGTGGAACCTGCAGCGACGCAGGTGGAGGGAAGTAAAAATAACCGGATTGGGGGGAGCTGCGGGCCCACGGTGCCGGCGTGTGTGGGCCTCAGATCTGACACCCGGCTCTCGTCACGTGGACTAACCCCCGACCCGGCCCGACTCGAGCGCAGCAGAACTCTTGTTGTGGGGCTCTGCGGGGACCGACCCAGTTTCCCTCAGCGCAGCTAAAAGGCCACGTCTTGTGGCTCTGCACATGTGGAGGAGCAGAGCTAAAAACACAAACATGTCAGAGTTGGACAGCAAGCTGCGCTGAGATAAACATATTTAAATCAAACTGATTGGTCAGGTTAATAAAACTTTATTAAAACATTTATTTATTTATTTATTCATCACTCTGTCTGACCAGATGAACTCATGATGCATGTTTTGTGTGTTTCAGTCGTTCCAAGGCAGCCAAGGAAGAGCCTACCTGTTTAACTCAGTGTGAGTACCAGCTCTTTGCTTCTTCTTTGTCTTTAGAATCATAGATCTGTGTGTTTTCATAAAACAACTCACGTTTACAGAATTTACCTGTTGCTGTTTCCACCTGAACCCAAACACACACCTGGAGTCTTACTAACACATCAGGTTTACTCTGCAGGTGGTTTTACAGTATTGATTTGATTTATTTATTTAACAGGAAAAGATTATTAAAAATCAAGCCTGACTCAGCATAATTGCTGTTTTACAGCAGGTTCCTGTTCTGCAGCACATAAAAGCATCACAATCACATCATTATACACCATAAACACAAAGACAAACAAGCACACCAAATT